GTGTTAGTTGTGACAAAATAAACATTCATAACAACAAACCACGTGATACCTGTATAATTTCGCGATTCTACACTCTTAAACAAAATCACCCACACTATGCTTTAAAAATAGCTATAGTGGAATCCTGTTATAACGAGAGGGATGGGACCGGTACGAAATGTCCGTTATAGCCGGATTTTCGTTGTAGTAAATAAAATAAAATAGTAAATAAATCCAGTAATAAATTCAAAGGAAATAATAGAGTAGGCCTAATCTATGAGTTTGGTGTTCTGTTTATTTCTTTTTGTTACTCCTCTGATGATGGCTTTGTTCAACATAACCTCTAAGTCTTACTTGATAAAAAATTGAATCAGTTTTCTTTCTCTAGCGTTAGCGATGTTGACAGCTGGGTGTTGGCTATCAGAACGAAAGTTCTCTAGGCTAACTCGCCCACTGTGTTTTCCCCCACCCTACCACACCCTGTGGTACGCTCCCGCATCTCCTTGCGCACGTCACACATTCGCTGCATGATCAATCACAGCACTGTGACCTCTCCATTCCCGCATCGGAGAAGTGAGAGACATGATAGCCTAGATAATATAGACTAGGCTGGCCTATCACTATCAGGCAATGCGCTCTGCTTCACAACTGCCTGTGAGCACAGGCCCCTCCCTTCCCACTCATTCTCTCAGGCCTTCATCGTTGGTACACATGGGCTCTCCCATTCTTTGTTTCGCTTGGGCTTGATCATCAACAAGTTTCTCAACTGGCGAGGTTTTCATTAGGTACAAATGGCCTATGCACTGTGCACAACAGCAGCAATATTCCGCTGTAACCGACTCACGCGTCTATCTGATTGCGCTGCTATAGCAGTATTTTATTTACAAAGATAAAGAAGGAAAAACAAAAACGAATTTTGGAATATTATTGTCTTTATAACAGACTTCTCGTTACTTCAGGACTCGTTATAAGTGGACTCCACTGTATAATACTCTGATATCGTGAATATTTGGCTTCTTATTTTGTCAAAAATAGTATGATAATGGACTCTGAAATATCTTCCCCAAAAGGTCTAATAATCATGGTGTTGTCGGTAAGATTATCATTGATGAAGATAGGGACTCCCTCCTTATTGCATTCATAGCTACA